TATATAAAAAAGTTAGTGGTAAATTTATTTTCTTTTTAAAAAAGTGAGAATAAAAGTTTATATATTGAGGATTGTATCAAAAGAATAAATGTTAAAAATAGTACATTTGTTGTTTATTGATGGAAATTTCTAACATATTTTTTTAAGGTACATTAAGAATATATTTATTATAATTTTTTTAATTAAATTGTATTGAAAATTAAAAAATAATTTTAATTTTATTAACTATTTAATTTAAATATATAATATTGATAACAAAAATAATGTCAATTTTTATGAATTTTTATAAAAATTAAATTTAAAAAAATAATTAATATATCATTAATATGTACCTTATTAAAACCTTTTATTCATTATAATTTCAAAGCATAAAAATATCACAATACTTTTACAAAATTCCCAAATCTTTCATGGCAAGTATGGTACAGTATCGAACGCTTTTGCTTAGAATAGCTTTCATTATTCTTTTTTGACTTTTGACTCTTTGTAGGATGGCTTCTCACCATCATGTTGGGTTGCACAAATTTATTTTAATAAATTTTACTCTATAAATTTATTAAAATATTCTTAGTGAAATAATATAAGAAATAATTTTAAAAATTTTTTTAATAAATTTATAAAATAAACTATACTTTTAATGTATAATTTACTATAAAAAGCGCATTTTTTATTTTAAAATACAATTATTTAAAATATTATGTGGTCATAATGTATGGCCATAACATTACTAAATGCTATATCTTAGTGACTGCTAATACCTAAAATTTTTTACCTCTGATTTCTCCTTTCTCAATTTAATAAGGCTCAAAATGAATTTAAAAGAAATTTTAAACTTGTTTTAGACTGGTTAAAGAAGAATTAACTTTGAGGTATACACAAATTAGTATAAAATTACTCTAATTACTAAATTAAGAAAATTTAAAAATTAAAATTTTTAAAAAGAAATCTTTATGTTGTTTTACCATCCATATCCATAAAAATTCAGTAAAAAAAATTTTGGCATAGAGAGTTTTTCACAACAAAGTTTTATTAAAATTTTATTTTGTGGTTACTAATTTTTTTTTGTATTTACTAAAATTTATCATAAAAAATTAGTAAAAAAATTAATAAATGAATCCCATATAAAAATATTATGATAAATTTTTTTTTTCATAAAAGGTAAAAGAAATTTTAAATTATATAAAAAATAAAAATAATTTTTTTTTAATTTTTTATTTATTATAATTTTAAAATATATAAATATCACAAACATCTTTACAAAATCTTGAAAGAAAATAATTCCCAAGAAAGCAAACCAAAAACGCACGCATCCGATGTGACACGCTTGAGAATTCCAAATCTTGCATGCCAAGTGACTTCCGGTGGTATCAATTACTTTTATTTATCAAAAAGTAAAAATTGCTTTTATTATTCCTCTTTACTTTTGACTTTCCATTGGAGGGGTACGCGCAAGATGAAAGGAGCGTCAAGTTTTTCAATATATTTAATTTAAGGGGAACAGAAATAAAAGGAATAAAAAGATATTTTATTATTATTGTTTTTTATTTAAATAAATAAAAAATTTTAAAATAAAATAAATAATTTTTTTCTTTATCTTTTTCTTTAATTCTTTTGATAATTAAATCTCTTTTAGTTTTCATTCTTCTCAATTTAAATATATTGTTAGTGCTTGTTAATTCCTAACTATTTAAACATTTGTTTTTTCATTTCTCAATTTAATGAGGGTTAGAATGAATTTAAATGAAATTCTAAATGTGTTTTTGATTGAATTGAAGAAAAATTAATTTTAAAATATGTATAAATTAACCCAAAAACA